AAACACACTCAGTCTCTCTCTTGTTATTTGAACTCTATTTGAACTATAGTGGTGAAAAGTTGAACAATTTGTGATTGCTCTTATAGTCATCTTTAGTCTTATGCTATATTAAGGACGAAACCTTTAGTTCAATGAACTAACGACAATGCTGTGCAAGTTCAGAAGGGTCAATTTCTATAGCATGCCAAAGCTTCATCAATTTTGCAAAGGAGATTTCCATGTTTATAAGCTTCAACAATTTGAATTAAAAAGCATGGTTTCTCTAATACTTCAATCCTAAGGCTTGAATAATTTCAGGGACATCTTAACATGCTTCAAAATCTCGCTTGAGATAATTGTAACTTTGCAAAACCATCTAATGGCGTGAGGCCTGCACAAACATTTCCGCGGTACCGTAGCTGCTATAGTACCGTGGGATTCGCTAACACGAAAGATAGGCCAAATCAACTTGTTTCTCTTTTTTATGCTTTCTTTTCTATTATCATTCATTCTTTTTTAGTCCTTTTCTGTATGTGTATTGTATTTGGGTTTATAAGTCAGTTTTATTGGCGTGAGTTTGTTTAGGATAGTTGCCGGCTTTCGTTTCTACTTTCAAGGACTATATCGAAGAATTTTGGATGTGCTTCGATTCTATCTCACTCCCGAGCGGTGACTATACGTCCCCTAACCTTTCATGACATTCCCACATCGATCCCCATCGTTCCTTCTCTGCTACAGCCTCCAAAATAGTAGTTTTTGCCGTTTTTTTGCTCCAGTTCTACCAATTCCAGCCAACTCCCTTTCTTCTCAGGCTTGCTGCTGCCCAACAAAGCCAGCTTCCACCCTTCTCAAAACCTTCCCGCCTTGTTTCCTGCCTACTTCCTTCGCCGTCGCTGCAAAGGAAGTAGCTGCTAACAAGTTAAAGACAAGTGCTTTGTTTTGTTGGAAAGTTTGAAGCACATACGACAGCGTAAGGGAAAAGAGATCACTACTTGGTCCAAAATGAAATGGGAGATGCAACACCAATATATATCACCTCACTACAAACCGAATATTTACACCACAACTGCAACAGTGGAGAGACAACACCACCAAATGACGACCACACCTTGCAGGTATAGTTCAACCTCAGGATCGAGCCGCAAGATTACACCAAGTGGAACATCCAAGCCCTCGTATGAGGAGAAACTGATTCAGCTGGAGAATAGGTGAAGCCAATTCACTTTTCTAAATCTATCTTATCTAGAAAGTGTTTTAAGTGTCATAGATTTGGAAATACCGAATCATTGCACAACTAGAAGAATGATCTCTTTCACTGATTAGGGAGCAATTGAAGAAATAAACAATGATCCAGTAGAAGATGAAGATTTTAGAGTGGATTCTCAACTTTCAACAAACGAGGAAGAGAAGCCAGTGTCTCTAGCTGAAGTAACAGTAGCTGTTTGAGAAGAGAGTGAGTTTGACGTAATGGTTGTTCATACAAAGTTTGAGATTGTGCTGCCTCAAACTACTGTTTTGTAGGAGTTGAGAGGAGCATCAATATGATTGACATTAGATATTCAAAAAGCCCATGAGTTCTCGAAACTGACACTTGAGGCATGACAATTCCCGATAAGAGAAATTCAGATTTTTTAGATATATAAGCTACTTCTTGAGTTGCTTCTGTTGAATGAAGTCCAACATATTAGAGGTTAGAAGCTTTTGAGCTACTTTTGGAAGACAATATGGAGCCCTTTGAGCAGTAAAATCAGTTCAACAATGTACCCACAAATAGATGATCACATGAGGCATGAATTACAACGTGGGAAATCTCTTTAGGATTTTTGTGAAAAATAATATCCTATAGTTGGATCCAAGCCCCTTTTAGAAAAGAAGAAGAAACATCTTCTCAGTGGTTGTATTTCAATGTGGTCTAGCATGTCGTAGATTTCATTTCAAAACTGATTCCCTCTTATATATATTTATGTATTAGAAATAATTTGACGAGCACGAGGATTGGAAGAAGAAAATTACATATTTAATGACTCGAGAGTTTGCTAGTGAGGATAGTCATCCAAGTATAATTCTAGTTATGATTGTGCCAAAACATGATATGTACCTATTCTATCAAGATGTTCTTTAGAATGTGAACGCTAACATGATCGACTTACCGGGAAATTATAATGGTTTCGCCACCTTCAACATGGCCGACCTGTCTTCAACATGGCCGACCTGATGTCATACAATAAGACATAAGCTTCGACGGATGAGGTCAAAGCTCCCCCAACCCTGACAGATTGACGCAGGAGCTTCCAACACAAACATTTCTCCGGTACTGTAGTTGTTGCAGCATCACAAGATTGACTATCATGATAGACGAGTTGAAATAGTCTTGTTTTCCTTTCTTATGCTTTATTTCCTTTCATCCTTCATTTCTATTTAGTCCTTTCCTATATGTGTGTTGTATTAGATTTTGGTAATTAGTTTTGTTGCATGAGTTTGTTAAGAAAGTTGCTGACGTCAGTTTCTTCTTTCAAAAGCTGTATCTCACTCTCGAGGTGGTGAGTATCCTTTCCCTAACCTTCCACAACAATCCGACCTCGCTGTCCGTCTTCCCTTACCTTCTGCAGCCGCCTTGCCGCCCGGCCCAGCCGGCTGCCACCCTTCCCCAACTTTCCCGCCTACTTCCTTCGCGGCCACTGCCCAAAACTGCCGTCCAACCTGCTCTTCTGCCATTCCAACCTCTATTCTGACTTGCTGCCTCCTAGACTGCATCATATCCTGTGGTCCCTGCATCCCCCACTTGCTGTCCCTTGCCACAATACCCTATCGTCGCATTGGTGTTACTTGGTTGGCTTGCTGTTCTCCTGCCTCTCCCAGCCGCCCCACATGTGTTGCCACTCCAAACCAGCCCTTGATACTCCCTTACTTGCTGTAACTGCCACCCCCACACTCCTCTCACAATTCCAGCCACCTAACACCCCTTTCCAATCCTTGTAGCAGACCACCACCATCCCGGGATAGGTCCCCAGTGAGTTTATGTGTAGCGTTGTTGTATTTGCCCTTTCAATTATGGTTGCAACCGTCTATTTTTTTTTCAGTAATAATATTTGTTTTTCTTAGTGTTGTTTGGGATAATTCTGGTATCATCTAAGACAACATAGCAATTGATTCAAGAACTCAAATGACAACTTTATTTCCCGACTTCATTGGTTTAAACTACTCTAGTAGTTTATACTAAAAAACAGGCTCCTTATTGATTCAACAAGCTGATTATGATAGAACCAAACAAACTTCCACTACATGATGAGCCTTCAAGTCAAGTTGAGGTTGCAGATAACTACTTGATCGGCTCTGCAAGGCGGTGTTCAACACATTGTTTACAAGCTTATCATTCATGAAGCATGGATAAGTGATTTCTTCCTAATCATGCTTTTGTTGAATTCAACTAGCTTTCATGGGCTAAAGTTTAAAAACTTGCTCCACGACACTCTTTAGTAATTCAATAAACCTATTAATAAATGTTTAAACTTGCAGAATTGAATATTTAGTCATTTTGTCGTCTGTGAGACTGGGCTTAAGCGGAGGTATTAAGTTGTGGCTTTATCGGCCTAGCCTTCAAATATTTTTTTTATAATCTTAAGAAACTATTTCCTACATTATTCAATGAAAATTTAAATTTTTTTTTGGTGCGGAGTTTATCAATTATCAAACTTTTTCACAATATCTTTACAAATTAACATTACAAAGCATTTCACCTCTTTATCATATATAGGGATGTGTGGGGAACTTATAAAATTAATTATATTATACGTTCTAGATGATTTATCAACCAGGCTGATGATCTCATTAGAATTGCATTGATCTTTGTGATGAAAGAACAGTTGAAGCCTGCCAAACATTCTAGAATTTTAACCTGATTTTTGGAGATACAAGCTTTCAAATCAAAATACAAGCTTTCAGAACAAAAAAAAAATAGGAGAGACCCTCAATTCTTGGATTGATATTTCAAGTTAAGGCAAATTGACTGCATCAAAGTTCATGTGTTGATACCTTCCAACAGAATGTAATTGCTGAAAGAAAAAAAAAAAAAAACAGCATCTATTGGAATTCATTAAATCCCATAGATTATCTTCTAATGCTCGAAGGAATTTTTGGGATGAAATTGTTCTTACTGCAACATATTGCATCAACAAAATGCGCTCTTGAGTCTTGAATTTTAAGACCTCTCACCTTTCTTTTTTCATTTCCAAACAACTTAGTATCTCCACCAATCCCTTCATACTTCTCTGGTTTACTTCCTTGTTCCCATCAATTAACAACATCAAAGCGACCTTTACCCAATACCTCACAAATGTCTCCAAATAAAAAAGTGTTGTACGTGTTACTCATTAATAACAAGAAAGTTCTACAAGCTCATCGATTTGATATTCTTTAAGAATCAAACCTACTTTGTCAAACCTTAAATTCATTGGGAGAATCCTATCAAAGGAAAATTTTGACCATAATTGCAACTTTGAAACACCATTGTCGCAAACTTAACCATACTCCAACATGGAATGAACTCAACTAAACTATCCATATTTTAGGACCATGCGGAAGTACCAAACTTAAATGTAATTGTCTTTTCAAGGATATGAAAACTCACAAAACTCGATCAATCAATTCCTTTCATACACTTATTGAATTAAATTCTATTGAACCCCTTAATGAATTTTCCCAACCTATTGCTGTTAGAAAGGGTGTGAGATCTCAGGCCTAGCATCCAAGCATGTATTGCACCAGTAGATGGCAAAGTTCCTATTCTTTACACCTATTTTCCATGGCAATCTTTTTTATGTAGGTAGTATTGGCATACTATGTTATGATGAATTAAGAAGGTAAATAATTATTGGTTTATATTTAATAAATTTGATGCAACGGATTCTTTTGAATAAAATGGCACAAAAGTTGATGAAGGCTGTGAAGCTAATCTATTTAAAAGAGTTGCCCCAGATTTTTAATCTTTGAACTACATGCATGCTTGTTTTGTGTTTCAGGTATCTGGTTTGAAGTCGATAACTTCGAAGCACTTAGCTCTGGCTAGCCAAATTATCAGTTTTATTTATGCTATCCTACCAGGTAACATGCATTGACCTAAATTTTGTGATTTTTGAATATACTGTTTTCCCTTTAGATTTGTTTTCAGTAAGAGTAGATTAGATCTCTCCTTTTGGCTGTGATTGATATGTTCATGTTCTCATTTTCTTTTTTGTGTTTTCAGCATTTGCATTGATATGCAAAACTGTAATGCCGTAGGATGTAAACTCCATTGATTTGTATGATCATTTATGGACCTAAAACGATACTGTTCATAGTTTTGTTGAATGCTATCTGTAAAATTTGATTATTAAATTTATTATTGCAGGTTAATTATACAAAAACCATATCTGACTGTTTCTGTTGTGTTTAATGTTGATTGCATGCTGTCATTTTGATTTTTTTGAGTTTTGAAGCAAAATTGAAGTAAATTTTCAATTCTTAAAACTTGTGGATATTTAGTTTTAATTAGGAATTTTATGGATGACTTCGTTATGGCTTTTACCTAGAAATGAGGTGCTTTTCTATCTAATATGCATGTTTAAGTTTTATCGCTTTTCTAGTTATTTTTGAACTTACCTGTTATTAAACATGCTCTAGATAACGCTTTTTCTTGAGAACTTCTGAGTCTTTACCTGCCAACTTTTTTATAGCTTAGGCGGATGTTTATGCTATTCTAAGGGAATGCTCATACATATATCGTTTAATACTCTTTAGCACTGACAATTGGTTTCTGAGAATACGTTGACATGTAGTTCTTATGTTTTTAATGAATTCATTCTGTGGAGGCGGTAAAGTGTCTGGTATGGGAGGTAGGACCCTTTCGCAGAATTTTAGACTTCTTCCCGCAGAACCCTTTTCTGCTACCCCCAATCTCTATAAAGAAGCTGCATTATGATGTTTCTTGTAAGCCAAAAAGGTATAGATCCTATGTAAAATTGTTGAAATAAATGAAGGCTAGTGAGGAATTGCGTGTCACACCCTAGCTAACCCCCTTTAACCCAATGAATGATTCATCGAAGGTGGAGGATTCAGCCAGACATAATTCCCTCTAACACTCATCCTGACTTGCACGGATCAAAACTAAGTGGATGGAGGATTGATCTTACTCAGTCGTCGCTGACATAAATCATCTAATTCATTTATATCAAATACACAAGCGATATTATTGTAGGGTTCATAGAAGTGTTTAGGAAGTGGGTTTTACGGGGAGGTAGTTGTGGGAGAGTACGAGAATGAGGATAGGGACGGTCGATGGTATTTGGAAGGAGATAGGTGGAAAAATCTGCTGTTGGACAATAGTTAAGGGCATGTTCAACAACTGTCTGGACGGAAAACAACGAGCAAATAGGGAGAAGACGACTATGGACGGTGAGGAGTCACTACCTGTTCTTGAGCAAGATACACACACACAATTTGCAAAAGGAATATGATACAATACTGCTGAAGCTAGAAATCATATATTACAATTTTCATAATACTCACACAAGGGGGAGAAGCTGAGTACGGGAAGCGAGGAGTATCCACCACCTGTTCTTGGACATGATAAAAACACAATTTGCAAAAGGAATATGATACAATACTGCTGAAGCTAGATACCATATATTACAATTTTCATAATACTCACACAAAGAAAAAGTGTCAGCCATAAAATAACAATATATAAATAGTCTCTCGAGTAAAATTCCTCCTTTGAAATAAGAAATTTAGGAAATAAATGAATATGAAGTAAATTAAAAAGGAAAGAAATATGCTGAAAATAGAAAATTTAGGAGGCTCTATCGGCTACCTTGTAGCACGAATCGTGGATTCAAGCATTCTGTGGAATTCTACGATTCCGCGGACTCCATAACAGACGTTTTGTGTCATGTTCCTAGACTAGGAATAGCTTTCTTTTTTTTTGGAAGGACATGGATTATACTGTCAGATATTCTCTCCCACAAAGCGCCTAAAGTGATTTTTAATACTGTAGTTCATCCCTCCTTTTTGACCATCTTTCAATGGGTGTCCTGCTAAACTAAACTGGAACTTAGCATCAAATTTGCTCTATAGAGCCTTCTGGAAATTGCTCAAATCTTTCTCATCTCTGATATATTGGATCTTTTTTAACAGTGCAACTTCGGAGGTAGATTATATGCCTAAAAATCTTGAAATATTCTTATCTAGGCTTTCCATATGTTTGATATTGGCCCTTTGAACTCATGTTCCTCTTGGATAATCAATTTCAATTCTATTGATGCTGCTCTTAACACATGCAAAAAAGTCATTTGTGGCACATACTTTTAAACTTTGTATGAATGCCTGTTACCTCGGGCTTCTACCTTCTAGGACAATAAATGCTAATTTTATTGGATTCTCTGATGGGCTCAGCTTGATTGCTGAGATCTCTCCCTAATTTCCTGCAAGTTGATATTCCTCTCAATTCAACTTCTATGAATCTTCACCCTCCACCTCCTCCACCGCACCTTGCTCAAAGAAGGAGATCATCCTCTTATTAGGGCAATCACATGAAATATGCCCAAAGTCGTGGCTTTTGAGGCACATCTTTGCTGAGAAAGATTTTGGAGTGCTGGATGTATCTACTTTTTCTCTTCTTTGAACTAGTTTTTCTTAGGGCAATGTCAGCTAGGATGTTCCAATTGGTGTATTCTTGTTGCCTGATTCAGAGGTTAAACTCTAACCTTAAACTGTGGCTGTCACCTGGTGACATTATTTCTCCATTTGCAAGCTAGGGTCAGGTGACGTTATTTCTCCATTTGCAAAGCTAGGGTTTGTAAGTTAATGGACCAATGTGACTGATTTTGCACCACATTCATAATAGACAACCTTAGTCCTCCTAGATACTTCGCTATTGTGCACTTCTCTGATTCCACCAACTCACATTTCAATATGAGTTGATTAGATTCAACTGTGTACTTCTCCATAAGAGAATCTCTCTGGTATAGGTGGTGGAGTTAAATAAGCATATTTTGTCGGTAACGTGGGGTAAGAATTTGTGTCGTATCTCCATTTACATCTTATAACATGCGGCAATTTCACTTTTTCCTTCACAATATCAAAGACACTTCATGTTCTCCCACCACTAAGATGCACCATTTTTTTTAACTTAAACACACCTAGCTTTACACTCTTGTTCGATGAAACGTCCTTATACTTAAAGATTTGTTCTACTACCTGGAGTCAGTTGATGAATTCTTCTTCTTAGTTTCTTTAATGTTCCATGTTAAATCTTTGGGGTATTTTTTCTTCGTCAATGAAATCTTTCCGATGAAAATGATTCACTTCCTCCCCTGTATTTGATGAGTCACCATTGAGGTTATGGGTGATATCATTGTTGTCTCCTCTCAAAGGCGGTAAGCTTTTCTAGTAATTGAAAATTTTATCATTGTATATCCTTCATAGTAAGCTCCTGGACACTTCTTTGCATATTTCTTCTGGGTTTCATTGTATCATTTTCTCTTGATCAAGCTTTCGAATTATGTAGGGTTGTAGATAAAAGGTTGGTTGAAGTTTATTATTTTTGTAGCAGGCGTCATGATGGATTTTTGGTGAAGATAGAAATGTTGCATTTTAAAAATTCAGGGTTAGGGGTAGAAATTGTGGTAGGAAGGAGGGGTTGGGGAGTGGGGAACTTTTTTTTTTTTTTTTGGAATTTTGGATTGGGACTAGAAAGACTGAATCCTAAAAAAATTAGGATTTGCCTGGCTCTGATATCATATGATACTGTTCTGGGATTCCTGGAAAGTGTTTAAGAAGTTGGTTTTGTAGGGATGTAGTCGTGGAAGGGGTACGAGAAGGAGGATAGAGGCGGTTGACGGTGTTTAGAAGAAGATATATGGAGAAATCTGTTGTTGGGCAGTATATTCGATGCATTCAACAGCTAAATCTACTGAAAACTGTGGTCGAACAGGGAATTGACGAAGTACGTGCAACAAGGAGGATCCATTGATTGTTCGTGAGCAAGATACAAACTACACCACTTGTAAAAGAGAGAGGTTACAACACTTACAAAATAGAAAATCAAATAGTACAATATCCATAATACTCCCACAAAGCAAAAGTTTCCCGGACCAGAAAATAACGACATATCAATAGTCTCTGAAGAAAAAATCATACTTAGAATAAAAGAAAATAGGAAATAAATAAAAAAGGGATGAACTATGCTTAAAATATGAAAATTTGGTGGTTTTGCCGGCTGCCATATAGACAGAATTGTTGCATCTTGTGGTCCCGCGTTCTGCTAAATTCTACGGTACCATGAAATACGAAATAAACGCTCTGCGTCAACAAGGAAGCAACATAATTAAGTCACAAATTACATGCGAAGCTGTTAAGTATAATTATAAACTCAAATACCCACAAAGCCTTTAAAATCCGCCACAAAATTTTTATAGATCAAAAGTTGTATAGAAGTAAGCATGACTAATTGTCCTATTGCTCCCTATCCCTCTCTAAAAAGCAAACAACAAAGGACAAATAGCAGCAACACCTAGTCATGAGGCAACTAATGACATCAATCTTCACTCCCATCAATTTCTGTTGATTTTTTCGTTTTTGTACAAAGACATAAACAGAAAATTGCAGTCTTAAAGTTACAAGAACAAAAAAAAAAAGTAGATGGAAAACGGAAGAGAAGGTTCTGGAGAGAAAATTTGGATTCCTAATTAATTTTATTGTAGAGTTTTAAGCCTCTAAATAGACAATTACAAAAGTGGTTGTTCTGATCCGCTTTTTAAATGAACTCGCTTAAAAGAAGGGATACTCTATCTGAAACTAATCAACTAGATAAACTCAAAGCCGAATGATTGTTACTAGGGTTGTAAACGAGCCAAGCTTGAGCAACACTCCGCTTAAGCTTGAGCTAGATTAATTAATCAAGTTTGAGCTTAACTCTACGAGTTTTGAGCCGGCTCATGAGTCGACTTGGTTAGTATGAAATTCTTCTTCTCGTCCTTTCTTTTTTGTGGACGCTTATGCTGAGTATCTTTTTGACGATCTAATTCTTGTATCTTTTCAGCCTTGATGACTTTTGAACTGCCTCTTGTTTATTTTTCTGATGAATATTTCTTTTTAAGTGAAAATTTCACCAAGCTTAGTTGCTTAATTTATGTCGAGAAAAGATTACTTTGTCATGAATATTGTACCCATGCAAGGTGAAGTACATTTCTAGTTGGTCAATCCATGCATTAAATTTCTAAACATTGATTATTCTATTATAAGTATGAATAACCACTTTTGCTTCCATTTTAAAAGGTCTAGTGCTTCATCTATCATAGTCAATAATCGTTCATTCTCATCATTGCCATTCGTATTGCTAACATTTGCTCAACGAGTATTATTGATGGGGAAGAATGTTACTTAAAGAGGAATAACAGATGTGGGGTTTTGCCTCGATTTGGACTGTAGTTGGTTGAGATGGTTATCTTTGGTTGGAGAAAGTTGGGTTCCAACAACAACAATGGTTGATAAGTAGGTTTGTCAAGCGTAAAACCTTGATTAGTCAAGGCTTCTTGACACATTTGACCTTCTTGTTTTATAAGAAAATAGTGAGGAGTCCTTGCTGTAGATGTTGGTGGTTTAATATTCATTATAGGTGGTGAACGCCATTTTGTGCTGGTTTTTTGGTTGGGTATAAGACGTTTTTCTGGGTGTCGGTTGTTTTATGTGGCCAGGCAGTCGGTTAAAGCTGGAAGAAGTGATGGTAGGATGAGAGACAGATACTAGGGAAGGGCCTTCAGAATCTGATTGAATAGAGTTACATGTTATGGGGAGCTGGATTATGATTTAACAAATGGTAAGTTTTTCCAGTTGGAGAAAGTAGGGTATTCGGCCAGTTTTGGGTACACTGATTACACCCATGTTGGATTGGATATGAGGTCAGATCAGTTCAAACCCAATTCTTACCTTGGTTTACCTTATTTAAACTGACTTTTTTTGCCTGTGCTTCTTAGACTTGTCTTTTCTGGATTTGCACTTCATAACCTTAATAGCATCAACGACCGCCTCCTTCCTGCTTGTAATTATGAAGTATGATACGTTAGGCATGTCAAAAGCATTAGAGATCTAGCTATTCAATTTGCAGTGTAGTCATAGATCCGGAAAATAGCAAATGATAAAGTTGGTTCACCATGCCGTACATCATTATATGGTTTGATCATGTTCCCTTGCAAACCTTATGAAGAAGTGGGTTATCCGCTACGATGTTTGAGAAAGGAGACTAAATATAATGCCTCGAAATTTGCACCTTAAATTGTTGCTTTTATCAAATATTATCATATCACATCGAGATTTATGCTATTTTTCAAGATAATATCAAATGAGTTATGCATAAAACATGACTTTTTTCAATTTTACCTAATGTTATAGAATGCATTCTGAAGTTCTTGGAAATAGATATGTTACTGTTTTTTTGGTGGTAGAACTGCGATGTTTCACTTCAGTAAATGTTTTCTCGATGCTTACTTGAAGCTGGTAGTCTCCTTTTCTTATTTTGCATGTTAATTGGACTTCCTGCTAAAGCATTAACTAATTTTTGCATCACTCTTTATGTGTACACAGAAATCCGAAGAGTTCTTTTTTTGAAAGTACCTGAGAGTCGTAAAGGGTTGTTGCTTTTAGAGATTGAACGAGTAGCCCAGGTAGGCATGCTCTGATATGCTTTCTTACAGTTTAATTTTCTAAATGGCATCTGTTTTGGTAGAAAAATTAATATCACTTTATTCTAGGTTTTTCTCCACCTAATTTTGGAAAAAAAGTGAATGGCTTTGAAAAATTGTATTTATGCTCATCTGAAGCATTAATTAAACATGATTTGAGTCTGTTTCATTTAATTTCTTTATTTTATGGTGATATTGTTTTGTAGTTTTAAATTTCTGATTTTGGAAGATGTAAATGTTATATTGTCTAGGAGCTTGATTCCCTTAATAGGTTTATTCATATGGTTTGACATGGAATTAGTTTAGTTCGTTTGTGCCTCTCAACTTTAAAAATGTAGTTATGGTTGCTTACTATTTTGTTTTTTTATTTTTATTTTCTATTAAGTGCTGCTTATGGTTGTCGAAGTGGGGTAGTTTTTGTGGGAGTTTATTTGGTATATGTGGTCTCTACTTCATAGCTAGCTATGTATTTTAGCATTATCTATTGGACAATGGCCTTGAGGTGTTCATGCATTATTCTTCTCATTGGCAGGCTTCATATGCATGAGGTTTTCTATTAGCAGGTTTTAGCGTGTTCTAGACTTGATGGTATTGTGGGAATTTAAGTACTGTTGCTGTTTAAAGAAGGAAATTCAAATTTAAAGAAGTAAAACTTGTGAAACATTGAATGAGGCTTTTATAGATTTACTTTTATCATGCAAAGAAGTTCTAAAGTTTAGAAATATTTGTAACCAAGTTGATTTTTTGCCAATCATATTTATTAACCTAAGGTGAAATGTTTTTAAATAACTATTCTGACACCTATAAATAATAACTTCGATAAAATAGTTTTTCTCTTTTCAGCTTTAAATTTCCGAGTATCATAGAAGTGTGATTACCTCATTTGGGGAAGTCATCTTCTTGCACTAGAGCATTGGGTTTCGTATTTTGGTGAATTATCGTTTGGATTCTTCATATCTTGTTATTAGTTTACCAGGAATTTTGATTTTATTCAAATTTAATGTAATTGGGATTTTAATTGTATTTAATAAATTGCAAAAGGTTGTTGATTTTGAATGATTTGAGTTTTATTGATTTTAGTTGAGCATTTACATTATCATTTGGGTTCTACTTATATTTACAAGTTTACAGATAATTTTTTTTTTCTTATTTAGTAGCCTTTGTTATGTGCATCTTAAGTCCTTAGATGTCGTTTGCGTACATTGCTTCATTTAAGTTGTATTTGGAAATTTAAACCCTAAATCATCTTGCATCACACGGTGTGCAAAAGTGTTATGCACAAGTGAGATGAAGTTGGTGTAATGAAGGATCTTGATAGGGTCAATATGAAGATTGTATGAGAAGTGAGGATCCATAAAGTTCATGAGCGGGATTATTGAAGGATTGAGGTGTTAACGACAACGACAATGCTTATAATAAATAAGCAAAGTTTGTGGTAATGATTTTTGGGGTTTTTGGGTTGGTTTTATTAGTCTCCTTCACTTGCTCCGTTCTTTGGGTCTATGATGAGAGGATGGAAGTTATGTGAAGTAGGAGATGTTTTTGATTTTATAGTTAAGGACATGAAAAATGGTAGAAACACCTTCCCCCACCAATAATAATGGGGGGCATGGAGAGAGAAGTGAGTAAAAGAGGGAGGTGAGGATAGAAAGGGCGGCCTATTTGCAGGAGAGGTGATTATGAATAATGCTCTATATAACAAAGGGATGAAATTGAGATTAGGACGGGGTGAGGGAATATTACTTTCTTGAAACATTTTGTATTCTAGTATATTTTTTTGCCCTAATATACTAAATCAAATTATTGAATTTCTTTCCACCTTTGAAACTAATGGCTCCAAATCTATTGGATTCTACAAGTTTGTAATTTGATTTAGGTCTAAATTCTTACAAATAAATTGCATTTATATTGTGAAACAATGCCTAGTTTATAGGTTATAACTTAAATTAAATCTTAATATCCATGCATAAATTTGTATTTAAAAGTAGGTTAATGATCTAAGATATCTTTGGGTGTTCGGTATGATGCGGGATCGGTCTCTCACGATCTCGCAAATCTGAAATTTCTGAAAGTGGGATTTCTCTTGCCCTCTTTACTGCTCTGGCTCTTTTGGGACGCTTGTATTTATATTTTAATATTAT